TTTACATATCATTACAAATATTAGAAGTTACTTACAATGTTTTCATATGTCGGTTATGGTTTTGCTAAATCTGGAATAGCTGTTGTGTGACAATCATAGTTGGAACCCATAGCGTAGAGAGACACTATGTGGGTATGTGTACCCTATCACCGTCAACTTTAAGGTATCGCTTCTCGGCCTTTTGGCTAAGATCAAGTGTAGTATCTGTTCTTATCAGTTTAATATCTGATACGTACCACATTGTGGTACCTTATATTAAATTGATTTTTGGGACAGGGAGATGGAATAGGGGCTTGCTCCGTCCACTCCGCGCATCAACCCGGTATTGCAGTACCTCCGGGAATGGTGCACCTCCCCGCTTGGGGAGGGAAAATGTTAAACAAAGAGAGAGTGCAACAGCGTTTTCATCGCATGAGATGTTTACCTAACTTCACATTGTGACCTCACCCACTTCTAATTCAAAGCCTTCACGAACACATCACCAGGCTGGTTCCATCTGTGTCATGTTGAACTTATTTCGCACCGTACGGAGACAACTCCAATGAACTGCTCGGTTCCATTTTCTCGTTTGTATTGTTTGCCTCCGCTGTTACATAAATAGTTTCAATAATTTCTAGACACGTTGATACCAATGTAAGACTCGAAGTTGAATATATAGATCGCTGCACGTCTACATAGACTATCGCCATGATTACAAGCAAAGATCCCCCATATGGCCTGAACAGACTGCTCGGGCAAGTATGTTCGCGAGTACTTATGAAAGCCCGCACGGCCCACGAGGGGGTGCGTCGCCAGCAACCACGCCGAGCCGCCTTTGTCTCTCTACTGACGCTGTATAGACACCACACCAGATAATACTTTTCTTAGGCTGAGTCGACCTAGGGGAGGCCCAGGACCAGCTCAGATAATCGTCACTGGTGTTGGCCTCAGCGGGAATCGAACTCGGGTGGCCGGCTTTGTAGCGCAGCGCGATCACCGATGCACCACCGCTCCCCCCCACCACGTGGCTGTGAAGCTTGTGGCGGGACCCCGGGGTCCCGAATAAACGGAAGTCAAGATCGCAATTCATTTATTTTTCGCGACTCCGTCCCACCGCGCACATCAACGCCGCGACCCGCCTGGCGCGGATTGTTCTGGTGTCATGTCCAAGTGCAGCAGCAGCGAGGACGAATGCGCAGAAGAGCTGAACAAGCGAATGCACTCCATGCTCGGTTACGGGCAGGATCATAATAAGTCCTCTAGATTTGAAGCTTTCGTGACTGCAAGGATTCATATTTTTAGGTTTTTTCGGTAAAGTCACATAGGTAAAAAAATAAAATTAATAAAAGTCAAATAAAAATAAAATATTTTACTTTTATTTATTTTCTTTTTTTACCTACGTGACTTTACCGAAAAAACCTAATATTTTACTTTTATTAATTAAATTTTTTTACCTACGTGACTTTACCGAAAAAACCTAAGAATATATAATAAGTCTTATCATCCAAAGCTGCTCAAACTGCCTACACGACTTAAGTCTTTTATTTGTCATCACGGGATGCATAATACAGTGAAACTGCTCTTATCTTCATTATTATTTGTGACCCACCAATGTCAGCAGCCAGGATCACCTGCAGATATTTAACAGATGAGATGCGTTGCACCTTCTGTTTGATAATACTTCTCTTGTCCGTATGCACCTGTGCAGATAGTTTTTATTTCGGTTAAGCCATAATCCCCACATACCGCGCGTATCAATACGGATAAGAGGAGCGGCGACCCACTACTCTATAGAGTGACATTGGTATAAACGCTTGTTACAACATGAACAGCGCATTGAACACGCGTACTATTTTATGTTCTGTTGACAAAGTGTGTTCACAAATCCACACTGAGAAACACGATGATTGAAAGAGGGGTGTACATTATTTTTTCGATAGTGTATTTAAATAGAGGTACTGCAGGTAAGTGGTTTTCAGTTTTAAAGGCATAGTTTAACAAGACAACGCTTGCCACCATCCTTCAAACCCTTTGGTGAAAAATAGAAAAGTTGTTGTTTACATTATAACATAATGTTTATGCGAGAGCCGGGGTCCCGCCATAAGGTTCAACCCATCAAAATATGTAGCGATTAGGTGTTTGATGTTGAACATAAGAATCTCGTTGTCTGTTCACGTACACGAGTGATCAGCACGCCACCACGTGGCGCAGGGCGATATGACCATATTGACACTTTTCCCATAATCCATTGCGTCTATTGCCTGTATTATGACAATGTCCTATGCTTATACATGATCGATTTAAAAATCAGCTTTCCATATCATAACAGATATTTTAAGTTATTTACAATGTTTTAATGTGCCGGTTATGGTTCTGCTACATCTGGAAAGCTGTTGTGTGACAATCATGGTTAGAACCCATAGCGTAGAGGGAGACTATGTGGGTATGTGTACCCCACCGCCGGCAGCTTATAGTTATCGCTTCTCGGCCTTTTGGCTAAGATCAAGTGTAGTATCTGTTCTTATCAGTTTAATATCTGATACGTACCACATTGTGGTACCTTATATTAAATTGATTTTTGGGACAGGGAGATGGAATAGGGGCTTGCTCCGTCCACTCCGCGCATTAATCCGGTATTGCAGTACCTCCGGGAATGGTGCACCTCCCCGCTTGGGGAGGGAAAATGTGAAACAAAGAGAGATTTAAGGTTTCATTATACTATGAGGTGTGTACCCAACTTTCTATGATGGTGGGCCTCACGCCGTTCCAACTCAAAGCCCTCCAACCTTCACGAAACACATTACCGGGCTGGTCCGATCTGTGTTATCAAACTCACCAACACTGCATGTTGTATGTTTAACTTCTTTCGCACCTTACAGAGCCAACTCAACTGTTTGCCTCTGCTGTTACATAATCTGTGGAATTAGTATCAAGATCTCCGAGACAAGTTGATATTAATGTCAGACTCGAAGTTGAATAGATAAATCGCAGCACGTCTACATAGACTATAGCCACGGTTACAAGCAAAGATCCCTCGTATAGCCTGAACAGACTGCTCGGGCAAGTATGTTCGCGAGTACTTATGAAAGCCGGCACGGCACACGAGGGGGTGAGTCGTCAGCAACCACGCCGAGCCGCCTTTGTCTCTCTACTGACGCTGTATAGACACCACACCAGATAATACTTTTCTTAGGCTGAGTCGACCTAGGGGAGGCCCAAGACCAGCTCAGATAATCGTCACTGGTGTTGGCCTCAGCGGGAATCGAACTCGGGTGGCCGGCTTTGTAGCGCAGCGCAATCACCGATGCACCACCGCTCCCCCCACGTGGCCGCATGTCGAGACGCTGTGAAGTGTAAATAGAGCAATTGAAGCTTGTGGCGGGACCCCCGGGGTCCCGAATAAACGGAAGTCTAAATCGTAATTCATTTATTTTTCGCGACTCCGTCCCACCGCGCACATAAACGCAAGCGACACACGTGGCGCAGATCGCTCTGGTGTCGTGTCGTGTCCAAGCGCAGCAGCAGCGATGACGAATGCGCAGAAGAGCTGAACAAGCGAATGCACTCCATACTCGGGTACGGGCAGGATCATAATAAGTCTTCTAGATTTGAAGCTTTCGTGACGGCAAGGATTCATATTTTTAGGTAAAAAAATAAAATTACTAAAAGTAAAATAAAAATAAAATATTTTACTTTTATTGATTTTATTTTTTTACCTACGTGACTTTACCGAAAAACCTAATATTTTACTTTTATTAATTACAATTTTTTACCTACGTGACTTTACCGAAAAAACCTAAGAATATATAATAAGTCTTATCATCCAAAGCTGCTCAAACTGCCTACACGACTTAAGTCTTTTATTTGTCATCACGGGATGCATAATACAGTGAAACTGCTCTTATCTTCATTATTATTTGTGACCCACCAATGTCAGCAGCCAGGATCACCTGCAGATATTTAACAGATGAGATGCGTTGCACCTTCTGTTTGATAATACTTCTCTTGTCCGTATGCACCTGTGCAGATAGTTTTTATTTCGGTTAAGCCATAATCCCCACATACCGCGCGTATCAATACGGATAAGAGGAGCGGCGACCCACTACTCTATAGAGTGACATTGGTATAAACGCTTGTTACAACATGAACAGCGCATTGAACACGCGTACTATTTTATGTTCTGTTGACAAAGTGTGTTCACAAATCCACACTGAGAAACACGATGATTGAAAGAGGGGTGTACATTATTTTTTCGATAGTGTATTTAAATAGAGGTACTGCAGGTAAGTGGTTTTCAGTTTTAAAGGCATAGTTTAACAAGACAACGCTTGCCACCATCCTTCAAACCCTTTGGTGAAAAGGAGAAAAGTTGTTGTTTAAATTATAACATAATGTTTATGCGAGAGCCGGGGTCCCGCCACAAGGTTCAATTCATCAAAATATGTAGCGATTAGATGTTTGATGTTGAACATAAGAATCTCGTTGTCTGTTCACGTACACGAGTGATCAGCACGCCACCACGTGGCGCAGGGCGATATGACCGTATTGACACTTTTCCCATAACCCCTTGCGTCTATTGCCCGGATTCTGACAGTGTGCTATGCTTATACATTCCCGATTTAAAAATCATCTTTACATATCATAACAATTATTTTAATTTATTTACAATGTTTTAATGTGCCGGTTATGGTTCTGCTACATCTGGAAAGCTGTTGTGTGACAATCATGGTATGACCCCATAGCGTAGAGAGAGCCTCTATGGATATGTGTATCCCACCACCGACAGCCTATAGTTATCGCTTCTCGGCCTTTTGGCTAAGATCAAGTGTAGTATCTGTTCTTATCAGTTTAATATCTGATACGTACCACATTGTGGTACCTTATATTAAATTGATTTTTGGGACAGGGAGATGGAATAGGGGCTTGCTCCGTCCACTCCGCGCATCAACCCGGTATTGCAGTACCTCCGGGAATGGTGCACCTCCCCGCTTGGGGAGGGAAAATGTTAAACAAAATCAGGAATGCGGTTGAGTACGGTGCAAATTTTTATTCAGGATTAAGTGTCCCCAGTTAATAAACAGCATGGAAGTTGCACAGTGGAACCAGTACCAGGGAGAATCGGTCGCTGATGCCGACATCAGCGACGTGTGTAAGTCTGATCGACAGATGAGAAGTTTCAACGTGACTCCCGAAACGAAGCGATGCAACCCATCATTTCACCCTCCCCACACTCGAGCAGTTCCCATGGTGGAGGTGACATCGCCCAGCGTTAGCGCAATTGTTATTTGTTACAGCGGTTCATTATTCCAATCTGGATTTGAAACCAGGTTCTCAGCTACCCCTCAACCTCGTATAGTGGCGAGATGTTAACTACCCCGCCTGGTATACAAGAGGTCGTGGGCCAGATCCTTATCCTGGCGCCTGTATATTTGGAGTTTGCATGCTCTCCCCGTGGTGGCGTGCATTTATCTCTCCATTTAGAATCAACCCACGTTTTAGAGTATTTAGCTGCATTTCATTTCTACGTGATAAGCCACTTCGTTGAGCTACCATTTATTGCCAGATTAGTTCTGAAAACAGCTATACAGATCAGTGGGCTTAAATTTCGATTTAAAGCTTTCGTGACTGCAGGGATTCATCTTCTTGGTTCTTTCGGTAAAGTCACGTAGAATGGAAATAATAAAAATAAAACATAATAAAATCATTCTCACGACGTTTCGGCCACAACGCAAGCAGCCGTCCTCAGGTGGAGAACAGGTCTGTCGAGAAGACAGAGTCTGAAGTGGGCCTTACCTGCTAAATTAAAATAGAGTTGAGTTTTTAAATCGTTTTCCCGACCACGTCTACAACCCACTGCCACCGTAGCGGCACTCGGGGTAGCGGTAGGGGAAGTCGGGCCTGCATGGCCTCAGCGAGGCGAGCAGCGAGCGGAGCCAAGCGGCGCCCTGCGTGACGACGCGTGGGCCCATGGCCGAGTCTTCGCACAGCGCCAGCAGCGAGTCCACCTGGTGCTGGAGGCCCCGCGGGGAGTGGAACGCGCCGGTGAGCAGCGGGCGCAGCGCCAAGTGGCACACGAGCGCCACGTTCCGAGCCTCCAGCTCGTCCGCGGAGGGGAAGGCGCTGCATGAAGTTGAGGGTGGATGCGACGACGACGATGATGATGATGAAGACGACGACGAAGGGAAGAGGAGGAGATGGCTTCCGTTTTTCCACAACGTGGAGAAGATGTCGTCGCTGAATTCCGTCGCGGTTGCTGTGGGCGGCGCGCTCGCTGGATTTGCACACGGCAGAATAAGCACAGAAAAATGTGAGCCTTGATTCTCATTCAGATGAATTAACTATTAGCTATCGCTTCAAATTTATCAAGATCTGATTAAGTATCCGTTTGTCACTCAGACATTTCCTTCCCCAAGAGTCAATTTGTCAAGATATGAATCGGGTTTTATTAATCGGGTTTCATATCGCATTTTACATTCACAACCACTTCTGTTTCCACGTACTTGTTTCCACGTTATTTTGAGAAAGTATAAAAAAGAAAAAAATATTATGGTGCCATTTAAAATTGTCTAATCAAACAAAGCAGTTTCGTTTTTCCAAACACCCACGGCGCACATGACGGTTTCATTTCCCTTGTGGCCAATCGAGCAAAAGGTTTAAATGCAAACAGTCGGATGACTTTGCTCCCACAGTGAGTAACTTTACTCCAAAGTCAATTGACAAACACCTTCCCTACACAGCTCGGCCACGGCAATGGATCCCAGTGAAACAACGGACTGCACGAGATTATATTTGCTCACTAAGAAAAGCCCAGAGCTGCTCCTCTGTATGTGTCACGTGTTCAGTGTACAAAGCGGTGGGGAGCGGTGGCACTGTGATAGGCGCAGTGCGCTCACAATTTGGCGATCTGAATTCAGAGTTCCCGCCATCGCCGTGATTGGTGGGTGGCATCGTTTTGGGAGGTGCTCTCAATTGGAAAGTTGCGAGTTGAAATCCCGGTTGGGGAATTTGACTCAGTCCATCATCCTTCTTGGGGTCGATAAAATAGATATCACTCTTTGGGGAAGTCAACAGTGGTCCGATGGAATATTCCTTCATTTGAACGTGGAATATCCACCACTGGCTCGCTCTCAACAGGATATGAGCAGCACTGCAATGCTCAATTAAGCAGGGAAAAAAACACTTTGACTTGAAGACGCATCATCTATAACTCGCAAATATTGAAGAAAATCGATTCTCGCGTGTGCCAGCCACACCAGACCACCAGCCACACAAGGCACAACGCCGGCGTACGCTGCTTCTGGTCGAAGACTCCGACGACGCTGGCGTCCGCAATGCGGAGCTGCCCGTCGCAGCGCACTCCAAACACCGCCCCATGCATCTCGGTGAAGTAGAGGAGGTAGCCAAAGTCATTGGAGGTCATGCCGGCCGTGATGGTCAGAGCCTAGGAGAGTCAATGATTATTGAGGTTAGGACATCCAACTTAAACGATCAACTCATTGTGAAGTTATTATGGATGAACTGATTTATTTACGCCTACGCACTTTTTCAGTAGGGTCCTGCTGCGTTCGATTATTTGACCAATTCCATCGAACGACTGGTTTGGCGTAATGTAGGAGGTAAAAAAACCCAAGTCCCCACATTTGCTGTACTGCCATCTGCATTCCACGTGCTGCAGGCATTTTTAAATTTTGTGTTGGCGGGGGGCACGCACCTGGTAGGCGAGGTCGGCGCTGCGTTCCGCGTCGGCACCGACGAACTCGGCGAGCGGCACCGTGCCCACCGACACGGCCAGCCGCCCGCACGCACCGAAGTACCGGGCGAAGGGCCACCCCTCCTGCATCGGAAAAATCTTGGGAGGACAAAAAGAAACACGAGCGCATCAGTGGGGGGGGGGGGGGGGGGGGGGGGGGGGGGGTGTGCTTCCGATTGAATTCGGATCGATTCTAATTGTTGATTTTTTTTTTGGACGATCATGCCTCGGTACGACATGTTGGTGATCAGATTTATTCCACCAGAAATTGTCACGCAACGTCGCTTTGGGTGAGCTCCGTGTGCGTTGTTTGTATTCGCCGCAACGTGGCGCGTGCCTTTCTTGCACTCGTTCGTAAAGTCTCCTGCACAGTATCCATGCCGTGGCGGCGCGACCCACTGGGTATGATGGGGGAGGGGGGGGGCAGCAATGGATTTTGAGCAAACGCCAGGCCCGTTACCTGCTGCAGCACTAGCTGGGGGCTGGCGGCGAGCGTGAAGAGCAGCCGCAGTCTGTCGCGCTCGTCCAGGTGGTGCATGAACACGCTGCCCCCGTCGCTCGCCTCCGCGAAGCGACGCACGATGCGGTCCAGCAGCCTCTGGGAGGGACAGGCCAGCAGTGGAGAGCGCAGGCCCTGGGGGTGGTAGCAGCAGCACCAGCAGCAGCGGCAGCAGCAGTAGCAGCAGCGGGGGCAACAGCAGCGGCAGCAGCAGCAGCGGCAGCAGGGGCAGCATCAGCAGCAGGGGCAGCAGTAGCAGCAGTAGCAGCAGCAGCAGGGGCAGCAGTAGCAGGGGCAGCAGTAGCAGGGGCAGCAGCAGCAGGGGCAGCAGTAGCAGCAGCATTAGCAGCAGCAACAGCAGTAGCAGCAGTAGCAGCAGCAGGGGCAGCAGTAGCAGCAGCAGTAGCAGCAGCAACAGCAGCAGTAGCAGCAGCAGGGGCAGCAGTAGCAGCAGTAGCAGCAGTAGCAGGGGCAGCAGTAGCAGCGGCAGGGGCAACGGCCTCGCAATTGAGTTTCCAGTGAGGACTTGGCGTGTCCTAGATGCAACCGCTCGCTGAAATAATCCCCACTCTGTTCTCTGTGGAGCAGCAGGTGGACTAATCGCCATCCGTTTCCATCTGCACGGCAGTTATAACAACACAAGTGTATACATGTTGAACCGTTACGTAGCCGAACGTGCTCATCGGCAGGCCCTGCGTGGTGGGGTAAAGTGTGTGTACCCCTGCCTCTTCCAAGACGGCTGGCCAGCGTGGAAGAGTAGGCCAAACACCCTTTAGATGTGCTCCCTCTAGAGCTCCCGATTGCAAACAAGTGTCGCGTATAGTCAGCTGTTATTTGTAAGTGCTAATTGCATTTATACATTTTGGACCAATTTATGACCATTAAAGCTTTCATACATTGAACACCACTGAGTTGAACATGTAACGTGTTTTTAAATAATCTTGATCATGTTAAATTCGGTCAATACATTGGCCCGTATCGATAATATTGATGTCGACGTGCCGACGATGTTGTCGGGCGGGGGAGGATTCGCGGCACGCATTGTGGCGTCTTACAACCTACCACGTGGCCAAACCCAACAACGAAAACGGATCGTTGAACTCACTGCGAAAACACACGATTCAAATGACCGACGATGTCCGACGATGATGGATGACGACGCCGAGCGATACTCGCCCACAATCGTTCGCGTAAAACTCCACCTGCACCAAGTCGACCGTCAGCCGATTGGCTCGCGCCCATCGCCGCAAGCGAGGCGAGCGCCGCCGAGCGGAGTCGCAGAACCCCGTGTCGTTGCGTCGGGCGCACAAAGCCACCTCCAGGGCGTCCGCCACCGACCGCTCCAGAGGTCTCACTGCCTCCACCGCGCGCCAGGGCTCGGCCTCGTTGCGGTGACGGCCTCGGTAGCGCGTGCGGTCACCGGGCGTGCCCCTCGACCTCCCGCCGCCGTAGCCACTCGGTTGTGCGGGTGACCACTCCTCGATTCTAGGGCGCGCGCGTGTGGGCAGGCGAGCCGATGAGCATCGTGCCACGGCTGGGCGCGCGGTGTCTGAGCACGGGTGGAGGGGTAAGGTTACATCAGGGATGTTTATTGACCCCTTTTTTTTGCTTCGTGTTGCTTTCGAGCAAGACGGCTCGGCGGCAGGGACGTCGGCGAGTAATTTAGAAGGTTGCGAGTTCAAATCCTGGTTGCGGGGTTGACTCGGCTCATCCCCTTTTCGGCGGTCGATAAAATAGGTACCACTCTGTGGGGGAAGTCAACGGTGGTTGTCCCATGGATAGACTCGCCCCCGTCGTAGGAAGGAACGCGGAATTTCCACCACTAACTCAATGCCGAAAACAGGAGAGACTGAACACCAATGCCTCGATGGTGATTCCAAGCGGCAAATCGCCGTGAGTGGCATGGCGCGTGGAGGAGGCTTCTCAAGCCACGGCGCTTCGTGTTCCTGCTCGCGACTGCGTGCGGGTGCGGTGGTCATGGCAGGAGGCTCACACGACGTCGCCGCTGAGGATCTGGGGGCAGAGCGAGGTGCCCAGGCACAGGTCGCACTTGTCCACCTCGAAGAAGCCTGCCAGGGCCGGGCTCGTCCCCGTGGGCTCCGCGCGGACACCCAGGGTGGCGACGGCGGAGGCGACCGCGAGAAGCCACGCGCACGGTGGCCCCGCGCCGTGGTCACCCCTCAGCCGCGCCATCGTCACCGCCATCGCCATCATCGTCGTCGTCATCATCATCATCATCATCCTCGGCATTGTCGTCATCGCTGTGGAGTTGAGGCCAAAGCGACGCAAGAAAGCAGCAGTAAAAAAAATGTGTGTGACCCCCCCCCCGCCTCCGTCATCATTGCCACTCAGACCACCGGGCGAATTTCGTTGCTGGGTGCGCCCAGATCACTTTGCCCCCAAAGTTCAGTCTCTTCCGCGGTACCGGACTGTGTATCACTGCTCTGGTGCCCCCCCCCCCGACACAATGGGCTCGACTGCCCCCCCCCCCCACGTCCCCCTGCTCCCATCCGAGGGCAGCTGGAGCCGGGTCTGATTTTTCCCATCCCTCGACATCCGTGTCTGTGACCAGGCTGAGGTGCGGGCCGTGAGGCACGTGAGCAGGGCAGGCACGGGGCACGAGTTGCAGCTGTAGCTGCTACAGCTGTAGCAGCCGCATCTGTAGCAGCTACAGCTGTAGCAGCCACATCTGTAGCAGCTGCAGCTGTAGCAGCTACATCTGTAGCAGCTACATCTGTAGCAGTTGCAGCTGCAGCAGCTACAGCTGTAGCAGCCACATCTGTAGCAGCTGCAGCTGTAGCTGCTTCAGCTGTAGCAGCCACAGCAGCCACATCTGTAGCAGCTGTAGCAGCTGCAGCTGTAGATGCAGTTGTAGCAGCTGCAGCTGTAGCAGCTGTAGCAGCTGTAGCTGTGCGTGCGCTTAACGCGTGACCCCGCACTCCGGTACCCTCACCGGAGAGGTGCAAGCGCGATCGCAATCGGTGCGATTCGCCCGCGCTGCGCTGTCACGCCGATTTTGGACATCCTGCACGCCAGATCTCGGTGGATATTTAAACCTTGTTTTGTGTGTACGTTACTGTACGTTGGACTTCTTTCGCGCCGTACGTAGCCAACCGTGTTATTATCGGAGGTGCGTTTTCGCGACCCAATGCACGTCAGCTGGTTGAATTGCAAGTGCTTTCTCCGAACGATGCGACGTTAATGTGGCGCGCGACTTTGTGTAGAACGACTTCTTTTGCTTTGAATGTGACCCCCTGCTTCCATGCCGTGTTGAGTGAGCTCCGGGCTGGGTCACCACCACCGCTACCACCACCACCACCGCCACCGTCACCACCACCGTCACCACCGCCACCACCACCACCACCGTCACCACCGCCACCACCGCCACCACCACCACCGTCACCATCACCACCACCACCACCGTCACCACCGTCACCACCGCCACCGCCACCACCGCCACCACCGCCACCACCGCCACCACCACCGCCACCACCACCACCACCGCCACCACCGCCACCGCCGCCACCGCCACCGCCGCCACCGCCACCACCGCCACCACCACCACCGTCACCACCGCCACCACCACCACCGCCACCGCCGCCACCGCCACCACCGCCACCACCACCACCACCGCCACCACCACCGCCACCGCCGCCACCACCACCGCCACCACCACCACCACCACAGCACGCGGGGGCTGCGAGCCCACGTGGGTGGCGCAGAGTTCATCGCGGGAACATTTCTATCGGGCGCCTCTCCTACACTCGCATGTCCTCGTGCTCTCCGCTGTCACTCACCAACGCGGTGAAGTATGGTCAACGAACCCCAGAGGAACCCGCACAGCCGCGGCAAGGCCCTTGACAGTGGGTTGACGAATGTCAGTGCGTGTGTGTGTGCAAAATGTACGGAGGGCTCGTACAGACACACTCTCGTATTTGGATTGATTAGGCGTCGGTGGCGGTAAGAAAGTGCAAATAAGGTCGCATATCGAGGACTGCCAAGACCTTGATTTATCTTTCATGTGAAAACTAAAGCTGCAACGTAGAACAACGAAACCAAGGATTTGCCAGATTTCAAGGGGGGTTACGGGGAAAACGTCGGCGAATGCTAATTCCACTCTGGAGATTTAACTCGCGTGGAATTGTCGCGGCGCGTGTTGTTGGCAGTGCTGCTCTGGTCTCCGTGAACCTCGCTGTTTAATCTGCTTTGCTTGGCTCGCTCGCTCGCCGGGCCCACGAGGGAGACATTCGCTCACTTCCCTCCTGCGTCTCCGGGGGGTGCAGGGTCTGGGTTGTCGTGTCTGGGCTGCGACCCGTGAGCGCTCCGTTTCCCGCCCGCGTCGGCGGCCGTCTGCCCGTGACGGAGGGGGCCGACAAATCGCTGCGTCCGTGATGTGACAGGCGACCCGATGGGGCGCCACGGTGGCGAAGATGTTAACTACCTCGCCTGGTATACAGGAGGTCGTGGGTTCTATCGTGGGTTCTATCCTTAACCTGACGCCTGCTGTTTATTTGGAGTTTTCCCGTGTCTTTCCCCGTGTCTTTCGCCGTGGTTGCGTGGATTTTTTAAATCCGTATTCCCCGGTTTTCCTCTCCACATTTTAGAATCAGCATGCGTTTTAGAGTGTTTTGGCTGCTGTATATATGTCCACGTGATAAGCCGCTTCGTTGAGCTGTCATTTGTGGCCAGGTCGCTTCTGAAAGGGCTACATAGCTCAGTGGGCCTTACCTGGTAAAATGGAAATAGTACGAAAAAAAATTCTAGTTACATTTTTTTTTAATAGTTTAGTTTATTTTCTCCAGCCGGTATCACTGCTTCACTCGGTGCCCTTCTAAGGCCTTTGCCACTGCGTCGCTGCCCCTGCTGCATCAAGTGGCTCAGCGGTGGAGCGAGCGGCTCGCAGATAGGAAGGTCACGGAGGTCAAAATCCTCCTCCTCCTCCTCTGCGGTCGATACACAAAAAAAATCGGTGCCGCTAAGTGGGGAAATCAAAGTGGTTCTCATGGGGGAGAGACTCGCCTCTGCCATAGGAATGTGGAATTTCCACCACTATCTCGGGGCTATACACAGGAGATGAGCGCCGCATCGAGCCGCATTCGAGCAGCAGGGAATGGTTTTACATTTTAAATTCGTATCAATAAATAAATAAGCTTGGGGAAAACCTATTTGGGACTTGCAACTCTCAACGCTTGTCCGACTTCCCCGGCTCGTAATTCCTTCCACATTCGTGTTCGTCGCCCAAGTCCCGGAGCTCGATCTCCGCGGTCACCGTCCCGTCGTGTCGCGTGGCTTTCACTCCCAAACCGGTGTCTTGAATTCACTGCAGACGGACGTGTACACGCTTCAACCGATGCTTAGTTCCTCACAAACCATTCTCCAGATAGCCGAGTAAATCACGAGCGTGGCACGTGGCTAGCAGCGAGGGGGTATACTGGATGTGGCGTGCCGAGAAATACTTCTCAGGATGGAGAACCTGGCCGAAATTAAGTCCTGAGTATAGAACACCTGTGACACGTGTTGTTTAAAAAAAAACATATCAGTGCGCGTTAACTGCTATGCCGTATGGAACAGAACCGTGGACATTGTTCAAAAGCCGCAAAAAATGCGCAAAGACATTTGGAGAGCAAGTGCACTCGGAGGAGAGTTATCACGCGGATTTAGAGGACGTATGCACGTTCGCGACGTGACGTTGACGGTAACGTCAAAGTGAATGGGAGTGACCAGCACCTGTCACTCGCAGTCAATGGGGGGGGGGGGGGGGGCACGTCGGAAAGGCTTTCCCACCGTGGAGATGGATCCGTCGGCTGGTGGTGGAGGAGCTAGACGGGTGGTTGCATCGCAGGGCCAGAAGCGATGGAGATGACTTCATGGGCGGGTTCATCCAGCAGTGCATTAGGTTACAGCTTCTCATTTTTTCGTACGGACGCTGATTGATGTCGGTGCAGAGCAGCAACAACAACTACAATCTCACACTCACGTGGTCAAGCCAAGATAACCACGTCAGGTAGCAGCGGAGTGTATCGCTGTGATGTCTCATTCTGTTCTAGATTTGAAGCTTTCGTGACTGCAATGATTCATACTCCTGGCTTTTTCAGTAAAGTCACGTAGGTAAAAAAATGAAATTAAAATTAATAAAATAAAAAAATCACGACGTTTCGGAGGCAACACAAGTCTCCGTCATCAGGTGGGACCGTCACAGCCAGATTTGCTCACTTGATACAGCAAATCTAGCTGTGACGATCCCACCTGATGACGGAGACTTGTGTTGCCTCCGAAACGTCGTGATTTTTATTATTTATTCATTTTAATTTCATTTTTTTACCTACGTGACTTTACCGAAAAAACTAAGAGTATGTCTCATTCTGGCCACAGCTGACGATGGTGATGTAAGCTATGTGGTCGTCGGTCATGTTTACTGCCTACTCCAGCCTTCTACCGTCACCCCAGTGACTGTCATCAGCCACTGTCCCTCCACTGCTGGATGAAGGCCTCCCCACACAAGATACCGTAACATGCAGTAAATATACGCAGTCGACAACCGTGAAAGCAGGCCTCGCACTCGTGTGCCCTGCCTGCACCCGCCAGGCGTGGCATCGGCTGCCCACCTGTCGGGCACAAGTCGTTCGTCACTTGGTGGTCCTCCCTGCCGCGCAGCGGTGGCACCTTCTCGGTCAAGAGAATGAAGACGCCAACTCGGCCTCCGGTTTAGTTTAGTTTTTTTGTTTGATTGCCGTCGGTGGTCATCCGTCGCGCACGCAACCTTGGCGCAAGGTTTAAGCAACGCTCCCCTAACTTCCCCCATTGCAGTCACGGTCCCCAAGGGCTGCGGCGAGCAAGGGGCTTTTAGTGCGGCCTCGTCGAAAGCGCAAAAGTCCGGTCGCTTACCAGGCAACGGCCTCCTCCCAGAGGGTCTCAACAAGTGCAGCTCCTCTTCTCGAGCCACGCGCACGAACAAAACAAAGTCATTGCGACAACGACAACAACGACGACAATTTAGTTTTTACTTTCCTCCACCTTCAGAACCTTGTCTTTTGCCACGGCAGCAGCGGAATATTTTTTTTTCGCGCTATTTAATGAAAACCAAAAGTAAAGAAATGTTTTGCCGTGAAACCTGTCGGCTGGATTAAACGACAGAAGAAAGAAAAATGAATGCAGCCGGCTCGGGATTAATTCCAGGAGCCTGGCAATTTTGGCTTTCGTGGTTGGCGGTGAGCGGCTGGGTGCCTGCTAGAGGACGGAGCCGGTAGGTTTTGTGTCACCCAACGCTCGCGCCTTGCCAGGGACCGGATGGGAACAGCGTCTGGCCCCACAGATAAAGCACCGATCCCAGTCTGCAGTTTCCTTGTCAGCGGATTTGGGCAGGATGTTGTTGCAACTCTTTTATCCTAGCAAGGCAGGAAAGCTTGTGCGAAGGGGTATATATTGTTTTGCTCTTTCCCCGTGAACACAATCCGTTAGCTCTCAATATGATGTTAAACTTTAGAATAAATATTTGTCTTGGCGGCGTTAATTATTGGGGAATTGTTCGGCGTGTTTGTGCACATTGTGTTTGTAACATTCAAGGGTTTAAACAAATATCCCTGCTCAATTCATTACTCCTGAGTGCAATAAATGAATACATTTATGAATGGCAAAAGGTTACAATGACTGACTTGGATGGCATGGATTAGATTTGTAGATAAAAAAATGGATTTATGCACTAAGGTGAATCAAGATGTAATTGGCAATACATTTGAAATAACCCTACACCTTGAAGATATTCCATTTGAAAGAAAGAGCGCGAACCTTCTGACTTTTGAACCTTTATTTTCCAGTTGCAAGATTACAATATCTGAAAAAGGTTTACACCAAAAAAAGGACGATAGTTTGTCAAATTAAATTACCTCTTTTATAACTGCATTTTTAAGGACTAATGGGACACTTTAAGCTTGCTGTAATCTCAGATATCGAGCGCACTCTTTCACACTTCGCGCAAAGCATCCTGTGGAATTAGAATAACAGATCTATCAGATTTATGAAAACATATTTTTACAAACTCCATTAGGAGGGGGGGGGGGGGGGGGGATAAAAACTCAACACTCGCTAAAATAACAAAATTGCTCCTGTGGCAACACTTAAACTTGTAATCGTTACTCCTCCATGAAAGACTCAGAGTCTCAGGACGCATTTCGTGCCTGACGTGTTTCATCATCACTTGGAAGTCGGTGCCCAGTGCTGTTATCTCTCTGAATGGCTGGGAAATCCATGCCACGGAGTTCATTTTACATTAATAATAGGGGGTTTTCCCCTTTTTTCTGGCAACAAAACTGAAACCTTTTAACCACAATACACTTGTGGTCAAAATGCAAACAAAAACACACTCTGATAACATATGCACTGTCCTTGAAATTGATTGGTCCACACCAGAGACAGCTTTCTTTTGAGCCTCGTCTCAATTGGTGCTCGACCAGAGGACGCCAAAAGGCGTACAGCTCAAAGACGATGCACTATTAGAGTAATGAGGGCTCGGGGTAAGCATCTACATCAGAAAGGGGAAAAACCCTATTATTATATTTTTATACTGGCAAAGGAGGTCTAATGCTGTAGATTAATTTAACATTGTTTGTAACGTTTGTTTAAAATACGAAAATTGAGTCTCAAGCAGAAACAAAGTTATTGTGAATTACAACAGAAGTCATTTAAAAATATATATAATCAAGTGTGCGTAAAATTATCATGAATGAACGAAAACTGTCGATGCAGCTGGTTAGCGCACTGAACCCGAACAGCTGAGCTTGATTCCTGTCCGCGGTGAACACCGGTGGGGGAGTGACACCTGAACTAGATTTTGGGCACCCCCTTTACCAATCTGCATTGACCAGCGCGGTGAAGTATGGTCAAACAACCCCCACGACTGACACGGCATGAAGAGACCCTCATGCAGCAGTGGATAGAGCTGTACGTTGACAAAATCACACAACAGCGCCGGTCCAGTTTGACACCACGACGATGATGCCACAAAGCGAAACTCGTCGTGGCGGTCACGTGGCCTCGCAGTAACGCGTTCACTGCTCGTTACAGAGGTCCATGGTCACAAACCAGCGGACGCCCTGGTTAATGCTGCGGGTGCATTGACCGTGATCCAAAATTTGCCGAATTATAAAAAAAAAATCGACCGTCAAATTAGTCAAATGGGATGATGCATATATATCGGGTTATATCGTTGGCACCGCTTCTCCCGCAACCTCCGTTGTGAAGCGCTGTGTGCAGCGCCGTGGGATGCCGGATCTTGCTTTAGGATCCGTTTCAGTTGTCTCGTCACAACGCAAAGGCCCAAACGTTTGAAGCTCGTGCAGTGGAGAGACGTGAAGGCGATTTAAGACGTCTCGAGGGGTGTCGTGGTGTGTCAGGAGGATGAAACGTGTTCTGCTCCGGCTCGCCTCGCTCGTGTCTTCACGCAACTTTACTCTGCACAGGAACACAATTTCGATTTAAAGTTTTCGTGACTGCAGGGATTCAACTTATTGGTTCTTTCGGTAAAGTCACGTAGAAGGGAAATAAAAAAAATAATAAAAATAAAACATAATAAAATAATTCTCACGACGTTTCGGCCACAACGCAAGCAGCCGTCCTCAGGTGAAGAACAGCTTAAATATACGCTGCCAAGCCTGGTGGTATTCATTCAGACGCTGTATTTCTGACAGACCTGTTCTTCACCTGAGGACGGCTGCTTGCGTTGTGGCCGAAACGTCGTGACAATTGTATTTTATTATGTTTTATTTTTATTATTTTATTATTTCCCTTCTACGTGACTTTACCGAAAGAACCAAGAAGAAGAACATAATTCACAATGTGTAGGCTCTGCACAATGCGATGATGAAATGTAATTAACGTTTAAATAAAAAATAACGATTTTTTTGACAGTCTCATTGTCACAAACACTTTCAGCAAATGTGGTGCAAAGCCATCAGTTCCTGAAGAACTACGTGACTTTTATTTTTCATATTAATTTACCATCGATACATTGCGCAACATGTGACCGGCTGACGGTCAGCAAGATGCGTTTCGTTGTTTTGTGTACGGTAGGAAATACTAGTTGTCTGGCACGCACTCACACTTCTACTATGCTCGGTTTTACTTTCCAGAAAAAGAAATGCAAACATTCGTCAGTACATCGTCATATGGTGCTGCTCGAGTTACATTAACCCATCGGCAACGGTTTGAGCAATAAAACTCCAGAACAGCCCCGACATTTACCGGCTCGTCAGCGGTGAGGCTGATGAATATTCTTAGGTTTTTTCGGTAAAGTCACGTAGGTAAAACATTAAAATTAATAAAAGTAAAATAAAATAAAAATAAAAATCACGACGTTTCGGAGGCAACACAAAAACGTCGTGATTTTTATTTTATTTTACTTTTATTAATTTTAATGTTTTACCTACGTGACTTTACCGAAAAAACCTAAGAATATGAATCCTTGCAGTCACGAAAGCTTCAAATCTAGAATTAGGCTGATGAATGATTCACCGCTCGGGTTGACCGAGGGACACGCGCTTCCGTCTTCACAATGGGGCCACTTCGGCGCAATCAGCGCAATATTGCAAAAAGCTTCACGCAGTTTATTTAACTACCGTGTGAGCACAGGAACCGTCTGTCGCAGCTCCACAGTGTCGCAGCTCCACCCGTGCCTAAACAAACGCTTAGCCGACCGGGGTAGTCACCACGGAAGGGCCTGCAGAACCTCCCGACTCACCACTGGAACCTCATTTGGCAGTAAAAAATATGATAATTGTTTTTTTATCCTTCTATCTGGCAACAAAACTGACATCTTTTTTACAAGGAGTCATGTTTGCATACACCACAATACCCTGCAGTCATAATGCAAAAAAAAATAACTGATAATGTGCACTGTCCTTGAAGTTAATTGGTCCACACCCGAGACAGCTTTCCTTAGAGCCTAGTTATGTTTTTTGTTTGCATTATGACTGCAGGTATTGTGGTCTATGCAAACATGACTCCTTGTAAAAAAAGGTGTCAGTTTTGTTGCCAGATAGAAGGATAAAAAAAACAATTATCAACCCCCCGACTGTGACATGTGCTCATGCCAGCTCACCTTGGAAGAGCCTGCAAGACCCCCCCACACTGTGACACGTGGTCACGCCAGCTCTTCCCTCTCCTTCTTTTTCTGCTGCCGCTGCTCGTCTTGAGCCGTGCCCTCGTCTGTGTGTGTCACTGTGTGTGTGTGTCACTGTGTGTGTCTGTGCGTGTCACTGTGTGTGTCTGTGTGTGTCTGTGTGGGGAGCGGTAGTGTAGCGGTTAGCGCGCTGCGCTATGAACCTGGCGACCCGAGTTCGATTCCCGCTCACGGCCAACACCAGTGACGATTATCTGAACCGGTCCCGGGCCTCCCCTAGGTCGACTCAGCCTAAAATGAGTACCTAGTGCGATGTGTAAACATCGCCGCTAGGGAGACAAAGGCGGCCGGGCGTGGTGTTGGCCACCCACCCCCTCGTGTGCCGTGCCGGCCTTCATAGGTGCTCGCTAACAGCACTTGCCCCTACAGTCTGTTAAGGCTATACGGGGGATCTTTGTGTGTGTGTGTGTGTCACTGTCACTGTGTGTGTGTGTCACTGTCACTGTGTGTGTGTGTCACTGTCACTGTGTGTGTGTCACTGTGTGTGTGTCACTGTGTGTGTGTGTCACATGCTGTGAGGCGAATGTCGCAAGCGGTGTTCATTCTGTGAACGACGTTCGTGACGGATATAATCGTGAACAAAGTTGTTTTATTGCAGGCAGCGACGACTCTGGTTGGGAGTGAGTGGTGAGTATTGGTGGGTGGATGGGAGTGGTGAGGTTTGGTAGTGGTGGGTGGCAGGGAGTAGTGAGTGGTGAGTATTAGTGGGTTGTTGGGAGTGGTGAGATTTAGTGGATGGTGAGTTTTGAGAGTGGTGAGTTTTCATAGTGGTAGGTGGCTGGGAGTGGTGAGTGGTTGGGAGTGGTGAGTGGTGAGTTTTGGTAGTGGTGGGTGGCTGGGAGTGGTGAGTGGTTGGGAGTGGTGAGTGGTGAGTTTTGGTAGTGGTGGGTGGCTGGGGTGGTGAGTGGTTGAAAGTTGTGAGTGGTGAGCATCAGTGGGTGGCTGGGAGTGGTGAGTGGTGAGCTTTAGTGGGTGGTGAGTTTTGAGAGTGGTGAGATGGCGAGTTTTGGTAGTGGTAGGTGGCTGGGAGTGGTGAGTGATGAGTATTAGTGGCTGGGAGTGGTGAGTGGTGAGTATTAGTGGCTGGGAG